CAACTTGGCCGAGTGTGGGAAGCGGGATCCCGCGAGCGGGCGGGCGGGCGGCGCGGCGCTGACCTGGATGGTGCAGGTGTACTCGCTGTCGTCCAGCAGCCGCACGGTGCAGCTGTACTCGCGCTCCAGACTCCTGCTGCTGCCGCTCATCAACCTGCTCAGCATCTTCCCGCCCGCTCGCCCGTCCCCGGGAGCGACGCGGCGGCGCTGCGGACTCCGGACCCGTCGTCCTTCAGCGCGGCAGCTCCGCGCCGGGCCCGGGCACCTGTACCATCACCCTGGCGGGATCGCCGCCGCTGCCTCCTCCCGCCCCACTCCTCTTCCTTCTCCAGAGCCACCACCGCCTCCCCCAAGACCCAAGCAAGCTGGGTTCTCTCCCGGGCTCCCCACTGCCCGTGCCCAGATCATGGGGTGGGGCATAGATAGGGGGCCAATGGAGGTCAGCGCGGCGGAACCGATTGGCAAGAGGAAGAGCCAATCAGAATAGGGAATAGGGATGATGAGCGGGCTGAGGAAGCAATCATCGGAAAACAGCAGTACCAAGCCTAGTCGGGCCAGCCCTCTAGCGTCCCAAGCCTTCGCTCGCACCCTTCGCGGGCGGTGGTTGGTATGAATGCTGTTTGTCCTCGGCCGGGCCATGTGTGGACACTTGACAAGATCGGTGTCTGCTACCTAGAATAACATTTGAGCTGTTCCAGGAGTCAAGTCCTGCGCTCTGCAACGCGCGGTTCCTGCCCTCTGAGAAACCAAGGCGAGGAGGCGGCACCTGCAGAAAACTGGCACCCACGTCTTCAGACCTGGCGGCTGCCCCCACCTGTGCGCTGCCCTAAGTCGGCTCCGGGAGCCCCTGTTCTCGCACACCCTTATTTTGGTGAACACCTGTTTTACAATAGCTGCTTACACTGCTGAGACCACAGAAGCCCGGGTTTAGCGCCAAGAAAATCCTGCGCTCTAACCCCTTTACATTTTCAGAAGACAAAAGGATCCTGAGGTGTGCTCCATAGCTGGGTAAGGAACAGGAAGTGATAAACCTTTCCTTGCACTTTTAGAAAGAATTATTACATCTTCAGACTTCCTCAACCAAACACAATAGGTCAGGAACTGTACGCACACAAAGGGGAAAATGCCTCCTTTGTGTTCTCCACATCCACAGACTTAAAGTTCCTTTGCAGAACTTCACTGAGAGACATAGTCACCCCCCAAAGATGTTATTAGTGATACTACTGTGTGCGCATGCGTGGAATATGAACACTCAGGTGCCACACACGAGTGTGGAGGTCAGAAAACAACTTTGTGGAATCAGTTCTCTCCTTCCACTTTTCTGTGGTTTTCAGTGATTAAACTCGCACCGCCAGGCTTGTCTGGCAATCCAACTTTACCCGCTGAACCACCTCACTGACTCTACCCTCAAAAAATTCAATGGAAGAAAATGTTATAAAGGAATCAAGTTAGAATAGGGGTGTAATTCAGTAGTGGAACCCTGTGGCCCAGCACGTGACAAGATCCAACGCTGAAACAATGTCAAAGCAAAACGTTAGTGCTGTGAAAAATATAGTCACTTAAAATAATGAATTATTAATATTTTCCCATTACCTGTATGCTCTTATTGTACCTCTGAAACACAACAATATTAATTAATTATTGTTATAAATAATATAGACCCCCCCATACCAGACTTAAAAAAAATCTGATCTATTTTAATTTTAATTTAATTTTGTCTATTTGCCTGGCCTTGGGGATAAAATTCAGAACCTTGCATTTGCTAGTTAAGGGCTTGGGGTAGCTCTAATATTAAACTACACCCCCAACCTTTGCATTTATGAGACAGGTTTCACTACGTAGCTCAGATGTCCAACAAATGATTCCCTTCAAGTTCTTCAGTGTTTGGATTAGAGGCCTGTGGCACCTAGCTGGCTCTTGACCTTGACAGCATGCTTCACTAGTGTCTTGATTCTAGTACCCCACCCCACCATGACCTTAGTAACGTGGAGCGTTCTCTCATTGCATTTGATGACCATGGGAAGAGGTTCCTCTTTTCACGGCAATCCTTACATAGTTACGAGACTAAAACCAAAGAGTCAAAAGCTGTCTACTTTATAACCTGGGAAGTAGCTTGGGGCCTGGAATACAGACGCATTCTAATAATGATGAACTGATAAATGGAATTGATAGGTATTCTGTTATATCTCCAACTTCAAGGAACATCCGTGAAGAAACCAGGGCCTCCAGGAAGGTCTTGCAGACCAATGTAATCACCACTATGTGGAAAAGAGAGTCTATGAAGTCCAACCTTGTGTAACTGAGAGCCAGTGGAAAGTTTCAAGCGGGAAGCACTTTTGTTGAAGGCAGAAGTTGCTATTTGTTATAAAATCTAAATGAGGAAGGAAAAATGTGCAAGAAGCTAAAGGAAGCCCATTACTGTAATGATGGGGACGAGTCTTGAACAGGTTATGCAAATAAGCAGCTGTTAGAATGAAAAGAAAAGTACCATGAATCCAGAGAAGCTGCAAAGAACGGAATGCTGTCTTCAAAGTAGGATCAGAGATGCAGAGAAGGGTGAGATGGTGGCTGCTGTGCCGGTGCTTTAGGAAGCGTCCCTGCTTAGACTAAGAAAGTCACGGCTACCTGGAAGCGTCCCAGTTCGTTGTTCACCCATGTTTGTGCATAAGATGCATCTGTAAACTGCCCTTTCCTTTCCAGTACAGAACAGAAGGTGGAAAACGGGGAAAATGTGCAAGAATCCAGCATATGCCTCTAAAACAAGATCATGGGCAGAGGTTTATGGGAAACTAGAAATATGGGATTCCAATAAAGTCAAACAAAAGCATTTAGCTTTTTTTTTTTTAATCTCTTTTATTGAGCCCAGTATGGAGAAGAGTCGTTCACTAAAAGGCTGCCTGTGGGGCTGAAGATATAGTTCTGTTGGTAGAGAGCCTGCTTGGCTTGTACAAAACTCTGGGTCTTATTCCAGAACCACAGAGAATAGGGTGAGTTAGTGTACAGCTATGATGACAGCATTCAGGAGGTAGAGGCAAAAGGATTAGAAAGTTCAAGGTCATCCTTCTGCTACAAAATGGATGCCAGGTCAACCTTTGCTAAGACCCTGTCTCAAAAAAAAAAAATCAAACAACACTTCTTGTTCCTTTGAGAACCACAATGTCCTGTTTTCATGTCTTTAAGTGTAAGGAAGCGATGTTTAAAACAAAATCGCAGATTACAATGGTTGTGGACCCCACCTTCCAAGTTATCAGTATGCTGGCTCCCTTCTCTATTGTGAAGGAGTCCCCAGGTATCCTAGCTTCAGTTCCTGTTCCCGACAAAAGCAAAGTAGGTGGGGAAGGGTTTAGTTTTAATTCCAGGTTGCAGTCCATCCTTGTGAAGAAGTCAAAGCATCAGGAACTTGGAAGCAACTACTCACAGTGGAGCAGAGAGGGAATGCGTGCATCCATGCTTGGACTCAGCTCTCCTCTTTCATAGTCCACGACCCACACCCTAGGAATGCGCCTTGTCCTCTCACAGATGTGCAGACCTTCTCACCTCTGTGAATATCGCCAAACAATCCCCACAGATGTGCCCACAGCCAAGCAGACCTGGTCAGTTCCTCATTGAGACTTTCTGTCAGGTGATTCTACATTCTGTCAAGTTGACGCCAAGAGAGGTACCACCTCCCAGATATGCCTGAAATATCGAGATGCCTTTACTTCGGATGCCACCCATCACCTGTACCCTGCTGGTCTCTCCAACCAGTACATCATTTTCGTAGGTTTGGGCAGGAAAGAGAATTGCCTTTTTCCCTCCCTTTTTCCTTTTCTTTCCTTTCTTTTTCTTTCCTCCTTTCTTTCTTTCATCGTTTTGTTTGTCCTTTTGCGTTTTGAGACAGAGTCCCCCTACACAGCTCTGGCTGTCCTGGAACTCACTATATAGGTCAGGCTAGCCTTGAACTCACAGAGATCCACCTGCCTCTGCCTGCCAGATGCCGGGATTAAAGGGCAGTATTACCTTTCCTTAACCAGAACATCACTAACACAATCCTGCTCATCAAAGTCTCCCTATAGCACAGCCAAGACTAGGTTTTGATTTCTGGGGCTGGAGATGTGGCTCATTAGTAGTGTTCTTGCCGTGCATATGTAAACCCTGGGTTCTATCCCCAGCACTGGAAGAAAACAAAAGAAAAGATGGACTATAACTTCTAACAATATTTTGAAAGTTATGGCATCACTATCCTCAAAGCCTTTGGGAACTAAAAGCCCAAGTGCCCTAAGTTCTTAGACTGCTCTGTGTACCCGAAGATAGATTCCTATCCCCAGCAAAATCCCCCTGACCACGGACATTTAGGACATCCTGGTCCAACAATTCTTCTTAGGTTGGAGTCCACTTTTAGAGTCTCATTTTCTGTCCCAGATACTATCTCTCCCTAGAGTGGCTGAAATGGAACGTAACCTCCGGGTCCGCGGGGTGACCTTGACTTCTGACTCAATGAAACTATTGCATTTATTTTTCTTGACACAGGATCTCATGTAGGTCAGATTGAACTTCAACTTGCTATGTCGTTGAGGATGACATTGAACTTCTAGTTGTCTTCCTGGCTTCACCTACTTAGTGCTATGTTACATATGCCAGCACTGCCAACTCAAGACACCTTTCAAAATAATAGCCTGAGTGTGGTAGCTTATGAAAACAGCAAGTTCAAGGCCACCCTCAGGCTACGTAGGAATTTCAGGGCCAGCCTGTGCTACAGAGGGAAACCCTGTCTCAGAAGGTAAACTGGCAGAGCAAAGGACTGTAAAGGCACCTGCTGCCAGTGCCTGAAAACCCGAGTTTAAACCTACATGGTGAAAGGAGAGAACCAACCCCCCAAAACTGTCCTCTGATCTCCACACACATGCTACGGCATTTGCCCTGCTCAATAAAAATGTAATAAAATACAAAAGAAACTAAAAAGAATAGTTTAAAGGCTGGGGAGTTAGCTTGACATTCCAAGAATGTGCCAGCCCTCACAGCGCAAGACAAATGCTTTCTAAAATAATAGCTTCACTGATCGTAGTGGCTGATGAAGGCAAGAAGACCACAGCAAGTTCAGTGTGGCACATGCTTGTAATCCCAGACCTGACAAGGTAGAGACAGAAACATCCCCGGGTTCAACGGCCAGCTTAGACTAATTGGTGAGTTCCGGGATAAAGAGCGACCCTGTCTCAAAGGAAGCTGACAAAGTTCCTGAGGACGATGCCTGAGGTTGTCCTCTGGCATCTCCATGTGCACACACATGCATCCACTTAAGCGTCCAGTCTAACAACACTTCCAACAAAGATGGAGTTATCTGTTCTTTATGCGTAGGTCCAGGAAGAACTTCGTCAAAGCCAGCCCAGGCCCTTGGTGTAACCATTTCCCCAG